GAGAGAAGGCGTGGAGTGGGTTTTACACACATCACACCAATCAAATGAGCCCCTCTCCTCGCCCTTAAATGCGCCGTGCGAAGGCATAATGAGAGTTTACTCAATTCGCCATGGCAGAAGAGAGCAGCAGCGTCAGACGGCCAAACTTCTCCTAGGAGGAAACTGATGTTTTGGTCCGGGAGGTCCAAGCTCGCAGTGTCCGAATATACGGAACTGCAAGCAGACCTCCACGGGCTGATGATGCAAAGGTAGCCTGGGAGGAGGTCACCACAATTGTAAATCAATGTTGCGTTTCTCTCGTGCGCACGCGCTCTCTCTTTCTCTCTCGCAGTCTCACTCTGTTTCTTTTCTTTTGACTTTTCTAAGATGACAGATGCTGAATATATACTCCCTATCTGATGCTGTGGCTGTTTGTGGTTGGCTGAGAGGGATGTGAACTCATTAGTTTGCAGCTGTGTAATCAAATCAGGTTGGGTTTCCATTATGTGTGCCAAACGTGCCAAACGGTGCCAATCCCCTTTGATCTGACATCAGATGTGACGGGACAGTCGATATAGAGATACATTTATGTGCTGATTGCAGATAGTTGCATTGAATAGTGGTTTTTGTGGGTATTTATTGCATTGTTAATGTGCCTGACATTCTGGAGACCTGCCTGTGAGGTTTTGGTGACGTGTGTGCACTGTCCGCCGGTCAGCCAAACTTTGGCTTACACTGGCTGCGCTCCGCCTGCGCTGACAGTAGACGTGGTTTCAGCTGGTGAGCTTTTAGCGCACCTTCGGCGAAGCCTTTTGGCACGAAACTGTCACTGCGCCAAGCTGGATGTGTTGACACCTCCCCCCGCTTTGTTGCCACACCCATCTCAGCGCACCTCGTTCTGCCAAACTACCAAACTGAGCGCGCCTCGGGTTGCGCTGCTCGAAACTAGCTCTGCGCGGGGTTCCCCACCCTGCGCTGCGCCGGGAAACTAGAGACCATGGGGACACATTCAACAACATTTGACATTTAAAACTATATCAAAACATCTGTTTACAAACTCTCACACAACTTGTGCAGTATATTCCAAGTCTCAGTTATCTAGTCGTATGCTCAGTACTTTACATACACATGCTTTTTTGCTAAAAGGTGCAGTACTCGTCCATGCGTAATACTGTTTAGTTTAGTTATGTTAAGTTCAGACATCTCTGAACACATCAACATGAAATGATTTTAACGCGATTATTTTAGTCACAAGAATGTAATGATCATCAAATGTGTGATTCAGTGCTAAAACTTGAGGAAAAGTTGATGCAATATAAAAGGACATACAGTTTTAAATATTATGGTTTAAGAAAAAAATGCATATGTCTGGTGAGTACTGACTGAGCATACAACTGGATTATAAAGCAAAAGTTGTGTGCGAGTTTGTGAACAAATGTTTTGATACAGTTTTACTGTTGTTAAACGTGGACCCCTATGACTTCAATTCATCAAGAATTTTCTGTTTTTGGATTCTTTGCTCACTGTGGACGCATGAGAGAAAAACAAAATGTTCTTTGTGAATTCAACATAATGCAGGGTGAGTAACTGATACACAGATTATCATTTGAGGGGTGAAGTGCTCCTTTAAGGTAGAGGACTACACTGATTTCCTACTGGTTGGCTGTCAAAAACAGGAAACAAAAGCAGCTGTTCTGATCCGAAAACATTTAAATAAAAAAAAACAATGACATGCGTGGCTCACTGACTGCTGGGCGCCACACAAGATGTAGCTTGTTGCTCCATCCTGAATATGATTAATTACATAACTGGGATACTAGTGTGCATGTAAATATATTAATTTAAAAATGGAAGGTAGTGTGTGTGAGGAAAAGCTCATAGGGTCCATTGTGAAAGCCTTTATCACCTGTTGATAAGCAGTGTATGTTTTGTGTAGTAAACAGCCTCATATATGTGATGCATCTACTCATACACCATGACTGTATAAAACCTACATCACTGTGATTCGCTCCAGTGAGAAGGCTAAGAGACCTCTGACATGTGCCAAAGCAGCAGCACATATTTCACATATTGCTGTGGACTAACAGGGCTCAAGGCTGACGGCGGCGGCTCCACTGTGTTGACTAGGAGCATTCTCTGAAGGTCTTTGTGACCAGAGCAGTGACGCACAGACGAGTTCCCGGGAGGCTGAGCGTGGAATTTGAGTCGAGGGATAGAAGGGGAGAGAGGGAGGAGGGGGGGGGGGGCTGCGCTCTCACGAGATTAAACCACGCTAAGGTCTGCACCAGTGACTGTGGTGTAACCAGGCAACACAGCCAAACCCACGTCAGCACCAAAAACCCACTCAGGTGGAGTCACTCACAACTGCCAGAAGCCATGTTACTGGAAAGATCCCCCAAAACTGAAAAGATTAGCCTGAGAAATATTCTGGTATGCCTCTCTGTATTTGTCACGTTATGCAGTCTCCAAAGAACAAGTTTAATTCACTGAATAAATGTCACTGCAGCAACAGATGGAAATACAGCAGATGTAATACATATACTATCGGGTGTCTAGTAGAAGCTAAACAGCAGACTTCATTTTTGGTTTGGCTTTTAAATGAAGGGAAAAACAACAGAACAGAGATTAACAACAGGACCAATTATGTGCATGCAAAAGTGCACATCTTCAAGTCTTTGCATTGACATAAATAGGTTCAAAAGTGTATGTAAGTGTCTATATGTATGCATACATGCATGTGACCATTATTTATCATCTACTTGTTACTTCCCTGTAGTGGCTCCTGAAAGTAAACTCGTCAAAACATCAGTTCAGACAGTAAAAATCATCATTATGATAATCGACCTGCACTTGTATCTGCCTTTCTCATCTTTTTAACCACTCAAAGCACCTTTTACACAACTTGTCGCATTCATACACTGGGGGTCGAGGCTACCATACCATTTTTGCGATATAATGATATCCTTAACAATACAAAAAAATAGTAAAACAAATATTTTATTATTAATTTAAGGACATAGAATTACAACAAAATAAGTGATATAGTTTGCTTCAAATATTCAGTAAAAACAAAACAAAAATGTTCTCTCATTTCTTTAGTTTGTGAACAACAACAGTAACTCAGAGTGAGATTCAGATTCTGTTACAATATTAATAGTTCAACAAAATAAAATCTACCACAAATTACACATTTAAACAGCTCTCAAATACAAAAAATGTCCCCTGGGATCTACATATATAAATCAACAGGTGATTTCCTTCTTTTAGCAAAATCCTAAAAGACTGAGTTGTTTTTTTTTCCACCTGGACCTTTATGCTCTGCCATTTCTCCTATAATCATCACGCTGTAACCTGTGACAGGCTGTTATGATACCATAACTATCGCACATTCACATATATGTAGCTTTTTCACATAGGTTTACATTACCAAAGGTTTATGACAAAAATCACTTGACAACACTGACTCCCGTGTAGCGCAGCGCGAGAGAGGAGAGGGAGAGACGCTATGCTGCTGCCAGAGGAGCCACTGAATGAGTTCCCTCTGAGCGGTAAGTCGCTAAAAGAGTCTGAGAAGTCCGGGGCTGTTCATAAAACATTTAGAACGCCACAGTTTGTTCCACACTACTGAAGCTGCTCCTCTTTCTGGAACCACCGCAGAGTCTGTGATAATTTTGCTTTCAGCCGTTCTTGTTGTTGCTGTCGGTAACAGTATGACATCACTATGTCAACAAGTCAAAGTACTGTGAGTATCATGATACGACACTGGTATGATTTTGAACGAGATGATATGGCACACCCCTACCTGCTACTCAGTTAAACTGAGGTCCGCTTGAGGTCCAGTAGCTTGCCCAAGGACACTTCAAAATGCATCCTGAAGCCGGAAATTGAACCACCTTTCTTGGAATTAGTGGACGACCTGCTCTATCTCCTGAGCCACAGCTGCCAAACTGCCAAACTGCCTTAACAACGTCACACAGTTACAACAGCTGCTTGTTTGGGGGTGGTATTGCCAGAAATGACCTCTGACCAGGAAGAAAAAAAGCATGAGGAAGAAGAAAACCCGGCTCATTGATTGGCCAGGACCGAAAACGGAAATACATCCCTTTCAGTCGGCTTGGTCACCACAAAAACAATGGAGCAACACCAAATTTACGCAGCCTTGGGGTTTCTGTTTTTACATTTTTACCTCTGCTTCGCCCAGTTCACGCTGTTGGCTTTGGGGATTTTTTCTACCCAAAATGAACTGCGCTCTACATCACTTCCTCTCTTTGGTTCACTTCCTCTCTTTGGTTCGCCGGATAGTCCGTTTGCATTTCCCACTGTAAGCGAACCGCACCAGGGTTCACTTGCAAGTGAAACGAGACCCCCAGTTTTCAAGCGGACCAGAGTTCACTCGTTTGATGCGCACCAGAGTTCAAATGAGCGTTCACACCACTCCAAATGAACCGAACTATCTGTTGAAGCAGACCAGGGTTCGTTTAAAGCGGACCAAAAAGCGCCAGTGTGAATGCATCAGTAGGACAGTGCACTTCACTTTAAAATGTAATCTATCTTTTTTTTTATTGGTTCCTTTTCTCTTTAGTTCATTGTTCAGTTAAAAGAATGGCAGAAATAATTTCCTTTCGTTATTTTTAATTGAACGACAATCATCAAAATGCTGTAACTTAGCCGTACACTGAAAGCAGCAGAAAGGCAAAACTAAGTACACTTTAATATTTGACTGCAATTAATATCGTTATCACGACATCCAACATAACGTACCTTGCCCATCATGTAAAAATACTGCAGGCCTGAATCTGACATGGCAAATCACACAGGCAACATGTCAACCTGATGGAAATACATTCATGTGTTTCCCCCCAACTGTACTTGCTTATTGTTAACAGAAGTTAGGCCATTATTAGAGGTCATTATTTACCAGCTGGTGTTATTAAACCACAACATTACTGTCCATACACCGCTGTCATGTCAAGTTACAGTTACCGAGAGCTTATTCATGTAATCTCTGAGCTGATACTCACCTGGCCTCTCGGATCCGACAGAGTTTCTGTCTCTTCAAAGTCGAGCCATGAAAATAATGCGCATGCGGCTCCCTGAATTTAAAGAATACACCCGAGTTGTGTCGAATGAAAAGTTTGACGACGCAGAAAATGAGCAGTGGGGCTGTAGATGTGAGACAGTGACAGGAGACGCGGAGAGAGACATCTGCTGCTGGCGGCTGCTGAGCTGAGGGGCTGGGACGCCTATTATTTGCTCTCCTGTGTGAAGAGACCACAGCGCCCCCTGTCGGTGTTTCTAACACTAGCTCATACACCAGACTACTTGTCATGTCACAGACATCCATGTGATATAATATGTGTTTACACATGATTTAACCTGGAAATTAGGCAGTGTGTGTAAAATGTAAAAACATATAATCAGTGAAACAGTAAACTTGGGGGTAACGTTTGTTTTTTGCATTTATAAACGTGACACTTGTCATACATTACGGAGTACAGTAGTCTGTGAATGAGGCATGATACTCACTGTGTGCACAATTATCAGGCAAACTGTATTCCTGAGGATTTTATTTTTGAACAAATACAGTGATATCAGTCAATCCAAAATGTTAATAAACCTCAAAACTGAATATTTAACAAAGGAAAAGTGATGTTATATTTATCGTGCTCAAAATGTATAATGACATTTTCACACTCATTTTTGATATGCATCTCATATAGAAGTGTGTTCTCGACATGCAGCATGTTATATGAAGTCTGTATAAATGTGGTCACAGGAAATACAGAAACACTGTATAATGAGGCCTAGATACAAAGCATGGAATTGCAGTCTACATTTTACATCATACAGGATTCATATGGTGGCATTAAATAGTTGAAGCTGAATATCTTCTGTCCAAAACACATTCAGTTAACTATCACATGAGACAAAGAAAGGCTGCAGTTGAACAGGCGGCATCAGTTGGCAGTTCTGTTTCAAAAATTGTCAGGCAATTGATTAATAGGTTAACTTCTATTAATAATTGAACCAACAACCTCCTCACAGTCTCATTTCTCTAGTTCCTTTTAAAGTGTGCAATTCCTCAAAAGCAGACAAATTAGCCTTTGTCACAGAAGACATTTCTGACATGTCATAGCGGTTATCAAAATATCCTCAATTTGTGAAATATCTCCTTATAACAGTTTCTTCATAAACATCTGTGATGAATTTTCTTTGTGCATAATCAAAAAGGGTGTGTTAAAAGCTGACTGTATCATGAGAAAATCAAATCAGAACAGTCAGAATAAATCAAAACAGTATTTCCCTTTTCATTTCCTGGTGACACTCCTATAAATCTCATGTATGATGAAGTAATATAACATCTCATGTTTACTTTAAACCCAAATTATGTACTTAAATAATATGACTGATGGATTAAAATGCTCCTTACTCTTCCTCCTTGCCTTGCAGTCCGCCATGTTTTTTTGACAAAGGGGGCGTGGTTCTACTGTGGCCACTTTAGATGATGTGGAACACTATGATTGGCTTAAAGACATCCAATTGAATAAGTCTGTGCATTGGGGAGGAGTCAGATGACAGCAATCATAGATCTAGACATCTACTGGAACGGTCGGGGATCTTCCTAGAAATTTCACTTTCTCAATCATCTACATTTCAAGTCATATAAATTCCACTGATATTCAAAAGTCATATTATCGAAGACAGTCTACATTTTACTGCCTTCAGGTTTTGTGGCAGTTATTCCTCAGCCACCTTCCCTGTGATCCTGTAGGTCTCCGTCGGCCCCTGCTCTCCACACGACAGCTGGGTCTCTTGACTCTCCGGCTTCTCCAGCACATCTGTCAACAGTGAACATAATCTTAGACAAACATTGAACATCCAATGTTTTTACTAAGTAAATGTCTCTTTTTGTTGCTTTTTTTTTCATTTAAAGGCCCAGTGTGTAAGATTTAGGGGGATTTAGTGGAATCTAACAAAAAGAAATGCAGATTGCAACCAGCTGAAACTACTCCTAGTTAGAATTCCTACAGTGTTGATTGTTCAGGAGGTTTTTACCATGAGCCGAATTATCCACAGAGGTCTCTTCCTCTCCAAAACAAACAGCTAAACCACAAGCACCCACTCCCTATGTAGATATAAAGGGCTCATTCTAAGGTAATGAAAGGGCATCAATTCTTGTTTTCAAGTGATTTTACACCAAAGAAAACATACCTATTATATTCCATTTCTGTTAATATGTTCCTCTACATCCTACACACTGGCCCTTTAAGAGCTGGATTTCAACTGTGACGTGGAAATGTTACAGACCTGTTTGCTGACTGTCTCCTGACTTGTTCCTGTTGTGCTTGTGGGAGGGGGCATAGAGGAAGATAATGGTGAAAACATACAGGTTCCACATGCCGTAGATCCCTGTGAGGAAAGCACTGTGGACTTGGAGCGTGTAGTCTCCCCAGTGCCAGTGACCCTCGCTGACCTGGTGAAAAATAAACATTTGGAATAATCTTTAAGAGCCCGGAGACAGCAGGAGATTCCAAGTCCTAGCTGAGGCAGCTAGGACTTCCATGTTCATCATTAGAGGGGTAATACTTACTTGATTTAAGATAAAGAAGATCACCGTCATGGCTGCACACGCTAGAGTTACCAGCATCAAAAACTTGAACCTGAAAATTATACCCTGGAGCAAGAGTGGAAAAAAGTCAGAATATTGTTTCATCTCTTGTGATTCAGGTATCAGATGAAACAAATAAAACAATTCAAACCTTATAACGCAGTCTTCTGGCCTCAGGCATTGCAGGAAGTTGCTGTATTTTCCCACCAATGTTCCTCAACACACAACGCACCATGACACACAGGGAGAGAAAATACAGACAGACAGAAATGCCTGCCACATTAATGAAGGCGATCTGTGATGACAGTCAAGGAAACGGCCTGGGGCCGGTCGCACAGTGCACCTTAAGTTTACTCCTCTAGTATGACACTTAAGGTTTAGTTTTTCCTTAGCTGAGGAAATGACTCAAGGGTGTTGCACAGACTCTTGCTCAGACACTATTTGTTTGCTTGAATGTGCACTTGTGATAGCCTAGACTTCCTGTTGGCCACTTTGTTTTTTTCCTGACTTTGGTTGCTGAGGTCATCTTTGCAACAGTTTAACAAGCTTTAAGCAGTTCCTCAAGTATAAGACCAGGACAAGGAGATAAACTCAATGAAACATTAAGGAGAAGACTTAAGGATGTTTTCTGCAACTGATTTTATTTAAAGGAATTCTTAACTCTGATTTAAAGGAAATCTTCACTTAAGGTGCTTTGTGTAACCGGCCCCTGGATGATACACACAGAGGCACAAATTTAAAGTATGATCTTATGTGTCTGAAACATTGTAATCATCTGAAGGATACTGCCACCTTCGCCCCAATTTCTGATGCCCAAACACTGTAGAATGGGTTGGTCAAATGAACGCCCCTATCATAAGAAACAAAGCAGATCAATATTTAAAGCAAAACAGAACCATAACACAAAAGACTTCATCAAAAGCAGTCATGTCATTACCTTTCACTTAGGTCAAATATGAGGAGGATAAATGAGCCGAACATCACCAGTCCAACCTGCCACCAGTATGCTGAGAGCCGATTCCTCTGACTTTGGTCCTAAAGGATTTGATAATTAAGTAAACTGCATTTCAGTCAGGAACACTTCAGTCAAAGAAAACTTTATTTCCATTTGCAGTGTCATATTTGGCGCTATGGCTCTGTTCTGGGGCCACTCTGCCTTTCCTCGGGCCTACACAGAAAGCCTCTTCCACGTGCATATGTGGAAAGCCTAAGGCAGAGAGAGCACACCTCTTTGCCCTTCCATTTACATATGTGGAAAGCCTTAAGGCAGAGACAACACATCTCTCTGCCCTTCCATGTGCATATGTGGAAAGCCTTAAGACAGAGACAACACACCTCTCTGCCCTCCCATGTGCAAATGAGGAAAGCATAAGGCTGAGAGAGCACACCTCTCTGCCCTTCCATGTGTGAATGAGGAAAGCCTAAGGCAGAGAGACCACGCCTCTCTGTCCTTTCATATGCAAATGAGGAAAGCCTGGGGCAGAGAAAGCAACAGCAAAGATCCCCCAGGAACAGAACAGAGCAGCATAAATGACAAACAGAAATTACATTGATAAGTCAGACACAACATGCAAAGGTGGAGCTGGAGTGGAGGCGGGTTGCAAAGCAGCTTGCAGAGGAGGCCAGAGTTTAAATAGGGCACCCTGAATACAATTTGCAAATGAGTTACATAGAAAGGGATCATGTAATCTATCAGCTGACTCCCTTCCATCAGTCAGCTGCTCCATCAGCTGATCGGGCTGTTTGAGATCAGCTGATGTAGCTGGGCTGTGAGCTGAGCTTGACAGTGTGTCCTGCCTGAACTGATGCTCAGTAAGTGGTGTGGCAGAATGGAGAAAGCTACAATAGAGAAGAAGTGAAAGGTGCTGACCATGAGGTGTTCACCACAGAAGATGATCCAGAAGCAGAAGAGTGCGGCATAGAAGACGCCCTGCTGGGCATCTTCAAACAGCAGCATCCACGTCCACTCAAAGCCCAGGGAGAGCCACTCCACTGGCACATTCAGGAACGTCATAGAGATACCCAGAGCAAAAATCACCCTGTATACAAGGCAAATACCAAGACTACTATAATGGATTGTTCTTAAAAGACAATAACATTCTGCTATAGGCTGAGTATTGACCTGATTCTACTAGGCTACAAGTGCACTTAAGATCAAACGGTTTTCATTTCCCCTGCTCTCAACATGCCACCCTGAAGCACTGCATCCCTCCTGAAAGTATGACAGGAAGTTTACCTGTGGCTTTAAGTCCACACTGAGTGACTAAAGAGCCTGGGCTGCACTCAGAGTTTCAACCCAAGAGCAATGGAACTGCTGTATAATGAAAAGTTGACAGTGTATTCAGTCTGTAAATCTGAAGCCTGCACAGATGTAAGCATCGTATGGAGGCCCAAAGAGGTCAGTGTTGAATAAACAAATAATCAAATGATCAAAAATAAAAAATAAAAAATATCAGTGCAAAACATAGACGTACCAGTACATTGTAAAATGATTTAAAGGTCCAGCGTGTAGGATTAAGGGAAGATATTGACAGAAATGTAATATAATCATGTTTTCATTAGTTTATAATCACTTGAAAATAAGAATTGTTGTGTTTTTGTCACCGTAGAATGAGCTGTTTA